GGGTGGTGCCAGAGGGTAGCAAAAGGTTTAGGGTTCCTTCCCTTGATGGAACAAGAGGAGAACAAGTCAAGAAGACACTCAATGCCTGTAAAAACTGGACAGCAACATGCAAGAAAATGGGCTCAGATCTGTACCTAACATCATGTACAAAAGTAAGATCAAAATGGATTAAAGATCACAGCATCAGACCGGAATCCATAAGATACATTGAAGACAAGATTGGCAAAACCCTCCACGACATTGAAGCTAATGGTATCTTCAAAGATGTCACCCCATTGGCCAAGCAAGTGAAAACAGAGATAGACAAATGGGACTATCTTAAACTAAGAAGCTTCTGCACCTCCAAAGAAACAGTGACCAAAATACAAAGACAGTCTACAGAATGGGAAAGGATATTCGCCCAATACCCATCCGACAAGGGGTTGATATCAAGGATTATACCAAGCACTGGTTGAAGTCCACAAGAAGAAAACATCCAACCCCATTAAAAATGGGGTGATGAAATGAACTGAAACGTTCTCAAAGAAGAAATCTGAATGGCAAAAAGTCACATGAGAAAATGCTCTACATCACTAATCATCAGGGAGATGCAGATCAAAACAACAATGAGATATCATCTCACACCACAGAGACTGGCCCACATCCAAAAGAACAAAAGCAACCAGTGCTGGCGTAGATGCGGTGAGAAAGGGACCCTCCTTCACTGCCAGTGGGAATGCTGGCTGGTTCAGCTCTTTTGGAAAACAGTATGGACGATTCTCAAAAAATTAGACATTGAGCTTCCATTTGACCCAGCAATAACACTCCTGGGAATATATCCCGGAGAGGCAAAAAAGTACAGTTGAAGTGACATCTGCACTTGTATGTTCATTGCTGCACTGTTCACAGTAGCCAAAATTTGGAAAAGAACCCAAGTGCCCAAGAACATATGACTGGTTAAAGAAGCTTTGGTACATCTACACAATGGAATACTATGCAGCTGTTAGAAAAGATGAAGTCATGGCATTTACATACAAGTATTTCTACATGAAAAGTATGCTAAGTGAAATGAGCCAGGAAGAGAGGGACAGACATAGAAATAACTGCACTCATCTGGGGAATATAAAGTAACAGAATGGGAGATGGTCACCCAAGAATAGTTGAGGTAAGTACCAGGAGGTCTACTCCAGAGCTTGGAAGCCAGCAGCACATGCTGGAGGAAAAGGCAGCTCAGATAGAGAAGGGAACCCCAAGTAAAGGATGTTTGAAGGACTCTCTCAGGATGTGAGATGAATGCTGAATGTAGACTATAGACTGAACACAATGGCCACTCAATACTTCTATTGCAAACTACAAGACCCTGAAGGAAAGAGTGAGCAAAAGGGAATGCGTTACCACAGAGACAAGGTGGGGTGGGGGTGGGGTGGGATGTGGAGGTGGGAGGTCTACTAGGATCATTGGTGATGGAGAATGGGCACTGGTGGAGGGATGGGTACTTGACCATTGTATAATTGAAACCCAAGCACTAAAGTTTGTAAGTCTACAACTGTACCTCATGGTGTTTCAGTAATTAAAAAAAAAAAAAGAAGACACTGAATACCTGTAAAGGCAAGACATGACAGTGATTGTGATGTTTCTGAGGCATAGGAAGTGAGTTTCAGCAAGGAGGCTGTTCTTGGTGGCTGCAGATATGTCTGAAATCTTGAAATAGTTGCTGTCTGACTGGTCAGTTTTATGAGGCTACTTAGTGGGCTTAGACCTCAGATCATGGGGGTTAAGGAATAAAAGCTGTGGTGTGAGGCTATGACTGGATAGGAGGGGAAAACTAAGAAGTAGATGGGGAATTATCCTAGTTTTTAAAATAAGTATATATTATAGGGCAGTAGATGAAGAGGGCAAAAGAAGGTCATTTCAATTAAATTTAACAAGTGTTTATTAAGTGCCAATTATGTGCAAGATGTTATTTTAGGGGCAATGAAAGATGTGATACTGTTTTTCTCCCTACCTGCCCTTGAAGAAAGGGGCTCTGTCAGGTTCTTCTGACTTTAGATAGCAATTCATCCTAAGCAGAAAGTTGGCAGAAGGGCAAATTCAGTGAGAAAAATGGAAGGTGAAGAGTTGGAGAATTCAGGGAGCAGTAAAAAGAAGGGAAGGAAAGATGAAAAGACTTGTCAGGTGCAGTGAAGTCCATCTGGAGAGGGCAAAGGGAACTGTCCTCTAAGATGATAAGGACGTCGAGGCTTGAAGGTAGTTGTGAAGTTATTTGGGGTATTAAGGCGGAGTGAGGAACTTGAGGAGTTTTTATCATCTAATGATCATCTTATGACATATATTTAAACTCTGAAAAGTTTACGGTCAAATGGAAAAATCTGAGGTGGTTGGTTCTTTTTGTCCTGTGAGGGGGAAAAAAATGACATTCTTTAATCATTGGATGAAATGCTTCTGGCTGCATTTTACACATTTATTTGATAGCGCCTAGTAAAATTAGACGTTTTTAAAATTGCTCCCATTTTTGTCTCAGTGCCTGTAGTTAGGGCTTTTGTGAAATTAAGTCTCTCGAAGCTTGGAGTCCCAGAAAAGGGTGGAGGAGCGGGCTCTGTGTATCCTCTTAAGAAACACTGAGGACCTCATACGCATCACAAAGTATTTGTGATTTACTGGAAAAGAGAAATTGGGCGGTTTTGTGGCTATTTCAGATGCACAAGGTTTTGAGTTATGTTTGTAACATAATTCCCTGTATCATCTCTTCTTTGTTTTCCTTCAGAGGTGTTATTTTCTTTCTTCTTTTTTTTTAGGGGGGGGCATACCCTCTGGTGCTCAGAATCACTTCTGACAGGGTTCAGGGTACCGTATAGGGTGCTGGGAATTGAACTTGGATTGGCCGCATGCAATGCAACCACCCTACCTGCTATACTGCCACTCTAGTCCTAGTAGATGTGATTTTCTACATATTCAGAACATCGAATGGTGTTCTTATAGTTTTTGATCACCAACAAAACGAGGAATTGTGAACAGAATTTTTGATTCCTTAAATGAAGAAATGCATTATTTTTGGATAACTAATTAGGATGCTGTGGTAGTACTATAAGGATGACGTTTGGTTGGTGTAGCTTCCTGGATCACTGCACAGATTTTCTTCCTGTATGTAAAGTTTTATGCCTTTAAAGTGGCAGTTATTTTATTATTCTTAAACACATGTAGCCAGAAAATTGTAGGTCCATCTCTAAAAGGAACTATTTATTAGTGTTTTACTTGGACTTTCATGCTCAAACACAGGAAAACAAGGGAAGGGAAGAGAAATGCCATGAAAGTCACTGTCACTGTCACTGTCCTCCCGTTGTTCATCGATTTGCTTAAGCGGGCCCAGTAACGTCTCCATTGGAGACTTTTGTTGTTACTGTGTTTGACATATCAAATACATCACGGGTAGCCATGAAAGTAGTGTGTAGATAAAGTAATCACTTATTTTCTCAAAGTATTTCAAAATTTTGAAAAATTGTTTCAGCATCTTTCTTAGCAGTGAAGAAGAGAAAACTATGCCACCCCACACTTTTTTTTTTTAAACTAGTTTTTGCGAAATCCTACTTGGAAAGGAAAATCTTGAATAATATAATTTGGCTATCAGAGGATGTTGCTGAATGTGATTTACTTGAAGGCAACAACTAACATGTAATCACTTACAAAGTTAGTCTGAGAATTATTCAGTACTTGTTCAAATAGAATTTTGTGACGCAGGGGCAGGAATTAAAGGGACTCGTCTGGAGGGATATAGTTAACTTAACATCCTCAGTGACTTCTGTAGCCAAGCTTGATGTGGCCTCGGCTGAGGTCAAGCACTCCAATCCCAGCCTCTCAAGGGCTTTCTCCATGTGCTGCCAGTGTGCTGGTAAAAATGACTTTAAACTCTTGTCAGCACGGTTACTGGTGCATGCATCCCAGCCCCACTCAGATAAACCTGTCACAACACAGAGGCGGTTGCTAGAGAAGAGTACAAGGGCAGGCCTGGAGCTTTTCATTCGAGCATCACTAAACGTGCACAGAGTGCCCAATTATTTCAGCATTATTGAGCAAGCCTACAGGAGGACCCAAGCCTTGCTACATTAGATTTTCTTTAGTAATTTGCTCAAGTACCGCTGAGGACACTTAAAGGGCTTAAAACGGTGGCTGCAACCAGTTTCCTTTTCTGGGTTGTTAATTCAGGTTTTCTCTTTCAAATTAACTCTCACTGCATGCTGTGTGGCAGTTCTGGGAGAACTGCTTAACACTAATTTTCTCAATTTTCAGCCTTTTTTTTTTTTTTGGTTCGACATAACTGCTTTAATAGTCACGTATATGTTTTGATTAGAAATGTATGCTAGCAGGGCCTTCTGTTGGGTAGAACAAAAACAGCTGCCTTAAAGAAAGATGGAAAGATTTCTGAATTTCAGCTATTAGAAGTTACTTAGATCATTTCACCACATAAAGTTCCATTTCTTTTTGCGTCACACCCGGAGATGCTCAGGGGTTCCTCCTGGCTCTGCACTCAGGAAATCCCCCTGGCGGTGCTCAGGGGACCATTTGGGATGCTGGGAATCGAACCCGGGCCGGCCGCGTGCAAGGCAAACGCCCTACCCGCTGTGCTATCACTCCAGCCCCAAGTTCCATTTCTTTCCACGACATTGCAGAATCCCCAAAACCAAGGTAGAAACATACATATTTTACATATCTTATTGAGCTCTCTCCCTTTTCTTTAAACCTGTTTGTGAAGATGGGCTGGAGAGACAGTGCAGGGGTTCAGGTGTTCGCCTGTCATGCAGATGACCCCATCCCCCACACTCACCCTCCTTGGCGAGCTACAAAGCCCCCTTGCACAGAGTGGAGAGTCTCTCCAGCTAAAATGATCAATTGAAGGACAAGTGGATGAGCAGTGGGTGTTGAATTATCTATTTTCCCGTCAGCCCTCCCACCCACTTTTTTTTTTCGTTTTGGTTGCGGAAAGGATAGAGGGGACAAGTTCAATATCTTGGTTTCATTTCTCGCAGCAGCAGCAACTCCAGGCCCAGCATCTATCACATGGACACGGTTTGCCAGTGCCTCTGACCCCACACCCTTCCGGGCTGCAGCCCCCAGCCATTCCACCCATCGGGAGCAGTGCCGGGCTCCTGGCGCTCTCCAGTGCCCTGGGGGCCCAGTCCCACCTGCCCATCAAAGATGAGAAGAAGCACCATGACAACGACCACCAAAGAGGTGAGTGATTCTCTCAGGCTGGCAGATTTGACTATCTGTTGCTGAGTGTAGGTTCTCAGGTGGGTTTTTCTGTGTCTGGATTTAATTTTACCAGTAATTACGTAGGATTTCTGTTGGAGGGTAAATCAATGACTAGAACCAGGGTTTTGGTCCAGTGATCGCTGGCAGTTGCACTCTCCAAAGACAAGAGAGCCTGTTTCCTGGATCTCCGAATTTGTTAACCAGCAGTGAAACCCCAGAATTTGCTGTTTATTAATAGTGATAGTAATAACTAATTTTAACCGAATCCACTTGGGGGCAAGTCTTTCTGATAAAAAGGCTTAAGTCGACAGTTTGACAGAACTGTTTGATAAGTTAAAAGCAATTTACTTATGAGTAGGATTAGCTATAGAGGACAATTTAAAAAAAAATCTCACAAGTATGAAAACAATTTCAGAAGTCTAAGCAGTTGAGGTAGTACACTTCAAGTCAGAAATCTTTTAGTTTACCTATGTTTTAAATCCCAGTTTGTTTAGAAACATGAATTCATCCTTTAAGAACAGTTAATGATAGATATTTATGCAAGGTCAGTTAATGCTCCTTTAGGTTGGTTTCTTCATTAAAATACTTAACAAAATAAAGGAAAATGTTGATGTGTCCCTATGTTTGTATAGTGCCTCCTAAAAGTATTTATTTGCTAATGGTAGAAAAACAAATGAAAAACTTTCCCCTATCATTCTTTTGTGGGAATTTACTTAACACATGGGTGGTTCATTGGTAGGAAGGGTGTGGTTTGTTAATTAAAAGCTCATGTCTACTCTTGTTTCAGTGTTATTACCATGAATTATCATCTTGGGTAAATGATTTTTATCACATATACATGAATTTCCCATCTCTGATGTTATAAACACTGTAATGTTTGTCATCCAGTTATTGTAATATTATGGTGCAGAGCTGGGTCATGATTATAAGCACTTTATAAGTGGAAAAGTTGATAGAGAATATGACATTAATATACAGCTTTTCTGAAACTGCATGAGTGATGGATGGGTGTTTTGTGAATCCCATTGAATGGTATTAATAATTAACATTGAAAATTGAGATCTATGTTATTATTATTTAATAGATAACATCTGAAAAATATATGTATTTTGTGTAAACCGACTTGTACTTTCTTTTTAACTCTCTTCCCTCCACTGGATCTGTGTGTTGCTGCTGTTCTGCCTATAGACAGAGACTCCATCAAGGTAGGACTCAAACTCACAGGTGAAGGGATGTCTTTGAACAGCCCCTAATTTGAATAATTTGGAAAAGTTTTGTGAACTTTACTATACAGTGGCTAGTTCTTTTTTTTAAAACCTGTTTCTTAAAAATAATTTTTAATTTAAAGAACCATGATTTATAATTATTGACATTTGAGTTTTCGGCATATAACATTTGAACACCAACCCCGCCACTAATGTCAGTTTCCCTGTACAAGCATTCTCAAAACTCCATACCCTGCACCCTGCCACCTTGGCGGGTACATTACAAAGTTTGGTGGTTGCAGATTAGATCTCATGCTTGTTGTTGAATCTGTGCTTTGGATATATATATACACCTTCACATCAGCTGTATGACTGAAGCCCCAACCTCTGACCTAATACTTTAAAAAACAGATTACTTCCAGAAGTGTGGTTGAGCTTATGTGCGTGTGGGGGGTGGGGGAGGGGGTGGACACATTTAGCTATGCTAAGGGGGATCACTCCTTGCTCTGTGCTTAGGCATCACTTCTGGCAGTATTCACGGGACCATAATGTGCCAAGGACCAAACTGGCATCATCAGCCATGTGCAAGGCCAGCACCTTAACCTTAGTCCTCTCTTTTCCCAGATATGTTTTTAAACTATTGGTCCCATTTCTTTATCAGAATCATATTTTTAAATCGAGGTTGAATTATTAGATCTGACTTGCATTCATCATTTATTGTGTCTTGCACTATGAAAAAGATTAATTGCTTTTCTTCAGGTATGCCATGGTAAATAAGGATGAGAGGAAACAATAAAAATACATGTTTAGCTCATCTTGTGGAGAAAATAGTTATATAATTTTTTAAAATCAGTATTTGCTTAAGAGCACTTTTCTACACCAGAAAGAATTTTTTTTATTTAGTAATTAGCCTTCTTTTTATGGTTTATTGGGTTTTGGGCCAGGGCTGGCAATGGTTGGTGGGGATGGGGGGTGTTTCCCTTCGAGCTGCGATCCGGGGTCACTCTTGGTGGTCCCAGGGGTGGAACCTGGGCTTCCACAGGCCAGGCACCCGCTCAACCCTCTATGCTCTGTGCTCTGTCCTGTCCCTTTTCTTTGGTTTCCCACTCGTGTTTCCTGCCTTCCCTGGCTTTTTAATAGATAATTTGTAGGGGCAAAGGAGAGTGTGTGGCATTTAATGATCAGGATATCTGTGTGACATCAGAGTCGGTTGTGGTAAGGGTGCCTGAATGAATGTATAGGTAGCAAACAAGAATAACAGGTTACTAAGCAGGAAATGAACAGAATATGAAAATTGCTTGATGACCTTGAGCTTGGCATACACCTCTGTTACATATTGCATTTTGTATAGATTAGAAAAGTCTCAAGCATAGGTGCTGTTGGTTCCTTTTCTGGGATTTTACAGCAGTTGAATGTGTAGTGTAGGGAGACTTTCATTTCTTTCTGCTTTAATGAAGTGACATATGTGAAAATTAAACTCTTACCTGAAACCACCTGTGATGGTGTTGACCACCTCATTATTTTATTTTCTTTTACAATAAAAGGGAAGTGTTTTGTATTTTTCCAAAGCCCTTTGGAAGACACAATGTTTATCTATTTTATCCTCCAGAAATTTTTGTGATTTGAAGGAACATCTGCATGCCTATAGAAATGTCAACATTTACGGTTTGAACCACACACATTGATCTAATTATGCATTTTCAGTTTTATATTTTGTTAATGTGTAGATTGAAATGAACTCTTAACTGCATTAAGTGTTCCATACACGTGTAGTTAGGAAGTAATAACTAAACGCATTTACTGGAATTAACTGATAGTAGCCCTTGAAAAGTCTAATTATTTTGAAGCCATGGTATAAACATTCCTTGTCTTCCTGTGATAAATACATACTCTTCGGTGGACCAGTGAACTAAACAGAAACCTCCTGTCTTGTCCCACTCACAGAAGACTATGAAAATATTTATACCCCATTGCACTTTTATGTCAGCTACATTTTACATTCCCTTGTACAAGAGTAGGGTGTATGTTAAGGTCATTTGGTATGACTCGGAGAGGGAGGATCTATGTAGCCAGTGGAAAAACGAAAAAGAAAATGGAGCCGGATGATTTTGTCTTGACTTATTCTGGACTGGGAGCTTTGAATAGATGTTTTTGTTGGCTACTACTCTCGGATTGGAAGTTGTATCATTCACATTTAGGGCCGTCCTGTTGCTTTGCGAAGTGAACTAGTTTGCTAATTTTCATAAATGTGTTTGTTCTGTGATGCTCAGGGAAGCAGTTAGTTGCTTGTTCCATTGATCATCCTTTTCCTGCTGTAAGTAGCTCCTGGTTAAGAGAGGCTTTTTATGACTGTTTGCTGTGTGGCTTGAGTTGGTTTTTATCAGCCAGAGTGTGCCAGTTCCCTGCAGCTGGAGTCAGACTTATACGAAATAATTTATTCGTGCAGGATAATGCTCCTTAACATTTAACAGGTAATGAACGTGACATAAATTTCCTTCTTGCTTTTAATTTTTCCCTTTCCTCTTCTAATGTGCAAACAGGCAGCTCTGGTGCTCTAAATAATAAGTAATTTTTGGCCATCTGTCAAAGGGAAATTTCAATACAAATTTAAATTAATGGTGCCTGAAATTTTTTATAGCTCCTCTAAAAGCCTCTAATGTGCAGAAAATTCTGAATCTGCTGGTAGTAATTAGTGTTGCATGTAATGAGGATGTGGGCAATGTTATACAGCCCCAGTGTAACATTTTGATATGGTAGCAAAATTTTGATTTATGTAGATTGTAGATAGATTTAATTGTGAGAGATACTTTAAAATGTTTTCTTGATGTTATAGATTATTAAACGGGGCAGATTCCAAATAACTCATAAAGTAGAAACTTAAACTTACAATAAAGATTCAGGTAATTAAGGTGCTTTACCTTCAGGTGTGAATTAAAAGGAAAGAAATTGTTAAAGTCATTGGATTTTTTTTCCTGTTTTCTCTTGGAAGTTCTTTGGCCACCACACCACACACTGTTGAGTTTTATTGACCTTGATTCTCTTGCTCCAGTTGGCAAGTCCATTCTTCACCCTATTATTTGCAGGTGTGTATGTAGTCCGAAACAAGGGTAGAGGCTGTAACTGTGGACCTAAAGGAAACAGCATTGTAGGAGCCCAGGTATCAATTTATTTGCTCATGAAACGCTATAATGGTGAGTGTTTGGGTGCCTTTAATCACTCCATATCCCCCAAGTAAGGCCTTCATTTGGGGATTGAAAATAGCCAGGAACAGATCACCACGGTCCATTCTCTTCTCTGATGATAGGCTCAGAAACCCAAATTTAGCTCTCTGAAAGGCTTCTGTTAACTTCTCCTGGATGGCAGTGCTTGCTATCCTCTGGAGTGCATTGAGCCAGTTTTGTCATCCCATGCAAAGTCACAAGTGAAGCCCAGGAAATGTTTTCTGTGGTGATGTGATCTTCCAGTGCTGGTCCCTCCCTCCTTAATGAGAGCTGAGGAAAACGTTTAGTTCTAAAGTGGTAACTAGGGCATTCCCACATTGGCTGGGAGCTTCTTAGTTGCTGGAGATACCAACTCATGAATAGTCATTAGGTTCTTCGCATTACTCTCGGCTTTCATCGGGGTGGCTGAAATGAGGGTAATGATTCAGAACAGTGAAGTCCAAATTGCCTAAAACCTGGTTAGGAACTGAGTCTTGGAAATTAGTATATTAGCCATCTCTTCCTATAGTATCTACAAAGTCCTAGCACCTCCTCGCAAAAAATGCAAATAGCAGAATTTACTGTCAACAACTATTGTTTTAAACTTTATGACTCTTTCCAAGTGCGTGTTTCCAGGCGTACTTGATTATTTCATAATTTATTTTAATGTATTTCATTGGCCTTTCTTTTGTTCTTTTTCTTTTTTCCTTAAGTCTTAATGGAGTGATCTCAAGCCAGGTATTGTCTTAGATACAACTAATAGATCACTATGATAATCCTGAAACTCATGTATACAGGAGGGAAAGGAAAACATGGTATGTACATTTTAGTTTGAAGACCTTATAAGAGGATTAGCATTTCTGTCTGTAAAATACGGTATATTGTACTTGTATTTTCCCCTTAATGTGATGGTGTTTTGAGTTCTGTTGTTTTATTTCGAATGTCTTTCCCAAAGTTTGAACTCATGACTAAAGTAGGTAGTGATTTATTTTCAGAGGAAGGCTCCTGGCGAGAGTTAGGGGTTCCGGTAGCCTTTCTTGGCAGGCTGTGCAGGTCTGCGTGTTCATCAGTGTCTCAGCTAGCAGTGCACATGGAGAGTCACGAGGTGCCGGGGCCAGGATGTGGTGTCAGGTGTGCACTCTTTAGTCCTTTGATTTCTTGCCCTCAGTCTGCCACGATTGAATTTTATAGTTCTTTTTAATTTTTTTGCTAGTATAAATAAGGATAGAACTGCACTTTATTTTTTCTAAAATTGACTGTAGCACTGTCCTCCTGTTCATCAGCGGGCCCAGTAACATCTCCATTGTTGTTACTTGTTGTTATTTGTAACTTGTTTTTACTGTGTTTGGCATATGGAATACCATGGGTAGCTTGCCAGGCTTTGCCGTAGGACGCCAGGTTCTCTGAGAGGAGCGGAGGAATCGAACCCTGGTTGGCATGCAAGGCAAACGCTCTACCCACTGGGCTATCGCTCCATTGACATATACTTAAAAAACTGCTTTTTCTATGGATTTTTAGTTATGTTTTGTGTCCCTCCATCCTATCTAAATTCTTTGTTCTTGGATTTTCATTATCTATCCATTAGTTGGGGCTAAGGCAGTGCCTTTTTATTCTGCCTCATCTAATTTTGTTTTGTTTTGTTTTGCAAAATCTGTGTAGAAAGATTGAAACACCAAATCTGTGGTGATATTATGTTGGCCATAAAGCTTTATCAGTGGAGTTTCTGTGTTTAGCTTGAAATGTATACTTAAAGCCAGGAAAATGCTTTCAGTGTGTTATAGGTCAAAGTGGGTTTTGAGT